CAACCCTGCTATGTATGTTTAATTTTGACTTGGAGGTATGTTAATTGAACAAAGAGCAATCAGCCGTTTGTTTCTGGTCCTCTTTACAGCTGATATTCCATCAGGGATGGAAAATTGAATTATAAAATTGTACCTAGTTTACGGAAAACTTTACCTAAAAATAGATAGATGTACCTAAAAAGTAAATGTGTATTTCTATATACATAAAATAGGAGGATAACAATTCCCATCGATACCCTATCAACTCACATTAAACAAATGTTGGCTATGAAAAGAATCTCTTCGAACAGTGCGAGACAAGCCTATGTTGTAGAAAAGGTGAATCACTTTCCTCCTAGTTCTTCGATCTGACTTTTAAAAATAAATATTTTCCGTCTATCTGGCAAAAGCAATTACAGTTGCTTTAAACGGCGTTTCCACGCCAACCGAATCACGTGGCTTTTACTTTTTTCAAAGATTGGCTTACGAAAAACTTGAATAACTGGGCCAAAAATGTTCTGATTTAGACTTATGGGATCTCAGTAAAAAAATATTTTCACACTGGTTTTATTTCTGGCCAAAAAAACGTCATTCGTGTCCCATCTTGTTTTTTCGAATACCAACACATCTTAATTCAACTTTGAATGACGTTCGTTCATCCTACCTTTCTACTCCATCCTTTGAATGAGTTTATTAGCAAAGAAATAAAAAGGGTGAGAAGATAGCTTTCCATTGACACCTCTTAAGTCTAAATCGGAAGAGTTTAGGTTCAGTTGTTCAAGTTTTTCCTATATCAATCTTTGAAAAAAGTTAATAAACAGCATCAAAAATCTCATCATTACGATTCCGTTCAAATTTTTTTTTAAATTTTTTTTTTAATATTTTTATGCAAATATTTTAGCTTCAACGGTTTTGTCATTTGAGGGGAATTTAATAAAAAAAAAATCTTTAAGAAACTATTTTTATTCATAAAAAACTCCATTTTTGGAGGTATTTTCAAATCGGTCCAGCTCACTTAAATCTTAATATTTTTCCGAAATACTTTGGTGGACGTCGTAAAATATAATAGATTTTATAATTCCAATGGAAAAATAGTACCGATTTTTTTTTTTGTATGGGGAGTGATGCATATATATTTATTTATTTTATACCCGAGCGCACTTGTGCACAAGGGTATATTAATTTTGTTCACATAACGGTTGTTTGTAACAGCCAAAACGAATCGATATAGATATAGACAAATGTATACATAAATGATCAGGATGAAAAAAGAAATTGATTAAGCCATGTCTGTCTGTCCGTCCGTCTGTCCGTCTGTCCGTCTGTCCGTGTACACGATAACTCGAGCAAAAATTGAGATATCTCAACGAAATTTGGTATGTAGGTTTCTGTTAATCCAAGGTAGTTTGGTGTTGAAAATGGGCGAAATCGGACTGTAACCACGCCCACTCCCCATATAACGGTAATTTCCAGAAATACGAAAACTGCGATATTTTAGTAACTCAAAATTGGTATTTACAATAATTTTCAGACGAAAATAAGAATATTATAAATTTTTTGGAAAATGGGCGTAGCCACGCCCACTTATGGTTATATGTGTATATCTTGGTAATCGCTGCACCAATTTCTTCCAAACTTGGCACAGTTGTTGGCCTTGGTACAGCATACTAAATGGCCGAAAATTTAAAAAATCGGACAATAACCACGCCCATATCCCATATAACGGTAATTTTCGGAAATACGAAAACTGCGATATTTTAGTAACTACTGAAGATTATTCACTCAAAATTAATATTTACAACAATTTTTAGACGAAAACTAAGAATATTATAAATTTTTGGAAAAAGGGCGTAGCCACGCCTACTTATGGTTACATGTGTATATCTTGGTAACCGCTGCACCAATTTCTTCCAAACTTGGCACAGTTGTTGGCCTTGGTACAGCATACTAAATGGCCGAAAATTTAAAAAATCGGACAATAACCACGCCCACATCCCATATAACGGTTATTTAGAGAAATACAAAATCTTCGATAAATCAGTAAATATTAAAGCTAATTTATTCAAAATTGATGCTTGCAACAATTCTTTACCAAGAAATACGTGTATGATAAAATTTTGGAAAATGGGCGTGGCACCGCCCACTTATGATCACATATCGGTAACCGTTCTACCAATTTGTACCAAACTCGATGGTTATTGTGCTTGCCACATAAAAGCAAAACGTTGAAAATTATTGAAATCGGACTAAAATTACTAAATAATTAATTAAAATTTATAAAACTCGGTACGGGAATTGTTTTTGGTTTGGAAAATTTTTGAAATCAGATAATAACCATGTCACTCTACTATACGGGTACTTTTATAAAAATATAATACTACTATACGCATAGCCAAAGCCAAATCGCTTAAAGATAAGACAAATATTTTAAGTAGTACAATTGCATTGCACATCTCACTTGTAAGAAAATGTGTATAGTTAGTTGCGTAATTGATTTATATATCTGACAGAAAATTGTTTCAAAATATGTACATATGTGCATACATACACCTCATTCTAACACTCTAGGAAGTATCAACTGCAGAAACAAATTTTTCAAAAGGTCAAAATATTCAGTCGGCTACCCTGATGTGTATGCAAATTTCTAAATCAGCCGAGTGGCTAAAATGGTATTTGAATATGTACATGGCACATGCATACACATGTATGTATATACTATTTATTTGATAATATCTATGTATGTATGCCAAATAAATAGTTTTACGTTTTTTTGGTTTTTTGTAGCGATCACTTTGTAGAATATATTTTTGGTACACTTGTAGGCTGGTGTGATCTATTATTTAATGGTGCAAATAAAACACTTATTCCACCTTCGTTGCCCAACGTTTCGCTGAAATTTTCAGCATCATCAGGGGCCACTATGTTTATTAAATCCAACAAAGAAATACAACGAAAAAACAAAAGATATTCAAATGAATAATAAAAGTTGGCATACATGTGTTTATAAAAACAAAGACAACAATTATGGACTAATACAAAGAACATATACTCACAATAATATTAAACATTTACTTTAAACTTAATATTAATACATCTACACATAATCAGTACCACTCTCTATGGTAGTCTTGTCATTACTAAATTGTTTATTTTGATATGCATAACATGTAGGCGGCCGCGATGTTGTCCGTATCTTCTTTTTTGTTGATCGTCTTCTCCCTTTTTTCCAATATTCTTAAGCTTTCCAAAGTGTATCTCGTCATTTCCCTCTTTTCCTTGTCAATAATCCTAGTGTTAGTGAAATCAGCTGTGTGGCCGCTGTTTAATATGTGCTGTGATAGGGCTGTGCTGTGTTTTTGTTTCCTTATATCTGTTTGATGTTCGGCTATGCGAACACCTAATGCGCGTTTTGTTGTCCCTATGTACACTTTACCACAGTTTTCGTTCTCTTTGCCCTTACATTTTATTTCATAAACAACGTTGTTTTGTTGCTGTATGTCTAGTGGGCTTTTTGTTCTTGTGTAGATTCTAGCTAACGTGTTATTTGTTTTGTAGGCGAGAGTTATGATTTGTTCCTTTAATGTGCTGTGATCAAAGTTTTCGCTTAGCTTGGGGATGTAAGTGACGCTGTAGTACTTCTTTGGTGTATTTGCTGTTGCTGTGGTCGGCGTTTTATTTTGCTGATTTCCTATTCGCATTGTTTCTTGTTTTATTAGTTCGCGTATCAGGTGATTGGGATAATTGTTGCTTTTCAAAATGCTGTGTATTTTCTCTATGTTGGCTTCGTGAAATTTTTGGTCGCTTATCGTCAGTATTTTGTGTATAAGATTTTTCGCGGTGTTGATTTTATATTTTCTTGGTTGGGAGGAGAGATAATTGATCAGGCGTCCAGACGACGTTGGTTTCGAGTACCAGTTTAGAACAATATTGTTGTTGTTTTTGTGTATACGGACATCAGGGAAAGGTATGCTCGCGTTTTCTTCCATTTCCATGGTAAACTGAAGTTTTGGGTGGTATTTGTTTAGCGTCTCTAGAATTGTATTCACGTCGTTGCGGTTTGTTATTGCAAAAATATCGTCTACATATTTGTTGATGAACTTGATGTCAATGTTGAAGTGTTGTTTCAGCTCCGAGATGGTGTTGTCTAGAAGGTCGTCCATAATGATGTCGGCAATTGTTTGGGTGTATAGTTTGTTATTGCACATGAAGTAGTTATTATCTTTAAGGCAGAAGTCAAGAATTTGTTGGAATTTGTGTTTTGGAATGCTGGTTGTCCGGTGTATCTGGTCCCACTTTTTCATAATAATTTTTGTGGCTAACATTGTCGGTATATTCGTAAACAAGGAGATGACATCGAACGACACTAAAACATCTTCATCACATACACTTATATTCGTTAATCTCTCTTTCACATTAAACGCATTCTTCACATTGTATCTCTCTGAAATCAATGGCTTGAGTATTTCTCCGACATATTTGGATAACTTGTAACAGGGGACCATGACTGACGAAGCAATGGGGCGTAAAGGAACTTGCGGTTTGTGAATTTTCGGCAGGCCATATAGCCTTGGCGCTGCAGCTTACGCCTTCTCAAACGATCGTTGGTTTTCCCAACCAAGCACCGTTTTTTGTTATGGCATTTTGAAAAATGAAAATAAATTAACAAATGTATTGTGTATTCCTTTTGCCTGGGTTATAATGCACGGGGCGGAACGTAACAATTCGTAAGCATCTATTGATTTTAGATCTCCCATACGTTACGTTTCGCCCAGACCATTATAACCACTCGCATTGGTTTCACATACAATAAATAGTTAAGTGACAGTTCACTCCGTCCCGTTACTTCCATTATATCCCAGGTAGTTATGTTCATTTCTTTAAAAAAATACTTGCGAACGAATGTTTTAATCACTTAGCAGGTAGCCTCGTAGTTATTGGTAAAATCATCGCTTGAATGCGGGTTTTCTAGCAGCGGTATGAGTTTCTACCTACTCGAACATGTATTTTATGTATAAAGGATACATGAACCATTTAAAATATTCTCAGTATTTATAATTCACTTAAAATCTGCAGAGTGCATAAGCGGAATGAAAAACTGTGTCAACGAGAAAAATTTCGTGTGCGTTTTTAAAGTAGTGACGTGTTTTTAAAAATTTTAAATTTTGGAAATTGGTCATAAACAATAAAAACATCACAGGCCTGAAAACACCCAACTGCCGAGAAAGCTCCAGGACAATCTTACCACAACTTCTGAGCCAACAAGATAACGGAAGACCCCCATTCGGCAAATCATCGAACAAATAGTTGGAAGCAGAGGTGCAACGAGCGGAGAAACTCTTCATAAGGAAAAATATTTTTAGGTATTTAAGCAATTTAATTTACGTAAGTTTTTATATCTTTTATACTCAACACAGATAAAGTATAATGCCTAGATTAAGACAAAAATCTATGTTATTAAGACGTATCCAAAATAGAAGGCAGATGCAATCTTTTCGGGAAGATAATATACATAGATCAAATGAACAATCCCGAAACACAGCAAATCGGTCTAGACGTCGGTTAGATCCGGAAGTTCGCTCTTCTGAGCAAAGTAGAGATACTCACCAACATAGGTCTCGCCGCGGAAATTCTCAAATTCGCTCAGCCGAGCAAGACAGAAATACCCGAGAGCATATCTCTCGACGCGAGAACCCTCAATATCGCGCTATTGAGCAAAGTAGAGATACTCATCATCGTAGGTCTCGCCGTGGAAATTCTCAAATTCGCTCAGCCGAGCAAGAGAGAAATACCCGAGAGCATAGATCTCGTCGCGAGAACCCTCAATCTCGCGCTATTGAGCAAAGTAGGGATACTCACCAACGTAGGTCTCGACGCGAAAATCCTCAAATTCGCTCAGCCGAACAAGATAGTAATACCAGGGAGCATAGGACTCGACGCGAGAACTCACCAATTCGGTCTTTGGAACAATCTCGCAATACTATAGCTCACAGAATTCTTCGCAGTAGAAATGAGTATAGGGCTTCGGAGCGCTTGCTCGTACGGATAATGAGCGAAGGGAAAATGAGCGTGTTAGGGAAACAGATCGTCGACGGGTTATGAGACGAGAAGCTAGGGAAGAAAGATCTGACTTGAGATGTGATGTCCAAAGTCGAGTTCGTCTCCATCGAGTTGACATATCGAACAGGCGAATCGAAAATGAACGTCAGGCGGAGCGAATTAGATCAAATAGAGAATATAGTCCCGGTTTTCCAGCTCAATCTCAAGACAGCGTTACTGACTTTAGACGTACCTATTTCGATAATATCAAAAAAGGACCCATAACAGTTTGTATTTGCTGTGGGGGTCTATGGTTTCCCCATCAGGTACGGTCATTAAATTTCAATGCAGTTTCTCGAAGTCCCCACCCGAATGTTGCATCCGCCTTTTATTTATCAGAAAAATTTCCATCGGAGGATGGAGATTATAGTTTTTGTATAACCTGCAGAAATGCAATTGTGAACAAAAGGCTTCCTCATTTATGTTTAGCTAATGGGTTAGATTTTCCAGAAATCCCCGAATGTCTGAAAAATCTAACACCAATAGAAGAACGCCTGATTATGCCTAGATTACCGTTTATGACGATTCGTCCATTGGGGTATCAGGGCCAGAGTTCATTAAAAGGTGCTGTCGTTAATATCCCTATTTCTGTGAATGACATTGTAACAAACCAAGTTCCCAATGAAGCCATTCATTTATTTTGGTCTAATGAAAAATCCAATAATTTTAATGCCCTTAAACTTAGTCAGATCTCAACTTCAGCCATTTTATCTACTGCCAAAGATGTTGTTAAAGGTATTGCTATCGGAGGACAAACTTCCAATATTTTAGATAGGGTCAAGCTTTTTAAGAATTCTGAAACTCAGGGCCTGTCGTATAACTTGACATTGAAGACTACTACCAAATATATGATAACTGTTAATATCAATACAGGTGATGGGTTAGTAAATGGTGCAACTGGCCAACTGATGCATATTAATTTCGAATCATCGATGCCATCAACTCTTTGGCTAAAGTTTTTGGAACCATCAGTGGGTTTGTTGGCTAGATCAAGAAAGTCTCATCCTAGTGATGCTTCTTGGACGCCAATTGAAAAAACAGTGAGCACTTTTCAATATAAAAGGAATGAGCAAATAACTGTTGAAAGAAACCAATTTCCTGTTGTTCCAGCGGAGGGAATAACGATTCATAAAAGCCAGGGTGCGACGTATAGCAAAGTGGTTGTACATACACGAGCTGGAATGCCCAGAGCAGCATTGTATGTAGCTTTCAGTAGAGCCACTAGTGCTGATGGTCTATTTATATTAGAAAATTTTGTGCCCCCATGTCCATTTACAGAATAAGATCCTGTATTCAAGGAACTGGTTGCCTTGAAAACGTCAAAATCCTTAACATCCACTTTTTGTTTCATGCTCTCTCGAACATCAAAACTTCAAATAATATATCATAATGCCCAGAGCCTTCATGCTCATATTGATGATGTTAGAAGCGATTATTTGATGATGACTTCGGATATATTATGTTTCGTCGAGACATGGAGCTATCCCTCCGAAAATTTTGAAATTCCCGGCTTTAGTCAATTAAATGATCTAAGGATAGATAGCACTACAACGCGGAATAGAAACAAACGGGGCATTTTAGTGTATGCAAAGTCTGAAATGGCTTCATCCATTAAACTTTGTAGAACCATTCAAAAGTATTCTCTTCGCAAGACTTTAGAAGCCATATTGTTTAACCACGATAATATATATGTGCTGGTGCTTTACAGAAATTCAAATTTCCCTATTGGAGACTTGGAAGCAGAATTACGTGACATTATCTGCAATGACTTTGAGAATAGGGAAATTATTATTGTGGGGGATTTCAATCTATGCCTTAAGACTACTACGAATAGAATTGCACATCTTTTAAGAGAAAACAATTTTAGTTTGTTATTAGATCTACAATATTCGACTACAGCTATAGGGTCTCAAATTGATTGGGCGTTCTCGAACATGGATAGAGACTTGATTAGCGCAATAACTTATGAAACGATTCACAGTTACCATGATGGCATTTGCATTTCTGTAGGTTATTCAAATGTTTGATCCTAGTTTTTCTGACTGTTCTGCTAAAATTAAGTAATTTTTAAAACATAAGTACTTTTAGTAAAAAAAATAAATTAATTAATTATTTTATTATTACATGCTCATAAGTAAACCTTGAATATTAAGCAAAGCAAATCATGTAGTTTGTATAGTTATATTGTTATAAGTCTGTAAACTATAAAATCTTTTTATGTTTGTAAAAATATACGAAATTTATTTCAAAACCATTTTAAGATCTTTATTGTTAAGTACTTCTGCTTTGCAATTCTTTCTATTTATCACATAACTAATGCTTATGACTATATCTATAAATATTGTAATATCTTTTTAATTAAATCTTGTAAAAATTATTCCAAACTTTATTTATTTCAAATTAGCATGTACGCCTAGTCAATCAATCTCGGTTTTAATCGAACTTAGTATTTTTATGATTGAACGTACTTATATGTCAAAATTCTTAAAAGGCATATAAAACCCGATAAAGCTATGCCAGACTTAACGTCCGGCCGTCCGTCCGCCCGTTTACAAGATAATTCGAGCAAAACTAGAGATATCTCAACGAGATAGACAGCTTGGTATTGAAATGGACAATAACCGCGCCTCCCTCCCAAATAACAGCATTTTCAAAAATTTAAATCTACGGTATTTTCGTAACTACTGGAGTACAAAATAAGATTACAAAGTAAGATTATTATAAATTTTTGAAAAGTGGGCATGCCCCAGCTAACTCTGTCGTTAAAATTCATAATCGCTCAAGATGAAACCTCTGATTTCGAACAAAAGCCGGGGATCGAGCCTAGGTTTCGACTAACATTAAAAACAAACGTTTTTTTCTAAAAGCGATCGCCCCTTGGCAGGTAATTGCAAACATCTTAGTGTATTTCTGCCTTGAAAAAACAGCTTCCCATAAACATACAATCGCCGTTCGGAGTCGGCGTAAAAGTGTAGGTCCCTCCCCTATGTGTAACAATATCAAGGCGAACGCCACAAATCAGAGGAGACGGTCAAGCACTAGCAAGCATCAATACATTACATGCATACAAAGAACATAACGCGAGGGTATGTAAAATTCGGTTTCGCCCGAGTTTAGCCTTTCTTACTTGTTTTTCTGTTGATTTTGTGTAATATCTTGAATTAGATAATTGTGAATGCGACATTGGCTCTAATTTTTGCTTTCCATTTTCTAATTGATTCCTGTTTCTTTTCAACACGGGCTAAGTGCTAGGATCAGTGAATTGGTGTAATTCAGCTGCGAAATCAATAACTTTGGCTTATGTTCAAACATTGAGAACCTTTTCGCCAATTTAGGCCTTAATTGTTACCCAATTTATCCTACAAAAATCCAAATTATTAATTGCCAATTAATTGTTAATTAAGTT